ATCCAGTATACCAGTATCAGTTGAGTCCATTTTTTTTCTTGTCAGTCAAGTTAGACCCCGAGATTATTCCAGTTACATATATAGATCGAGTCGAGCATCTTAGTAGTTATTTTCAGTCAGTCTGAGCATAGGACTTAGTATTTGTTTATTTATATATTTTTACAATTTGATCAGCAGCAGCACTTACAGTTTCAGACTAGCAGTTCAGGTGGGGACTCAGACTAAGTATTACATTGAGTATAATTACAGTTATCATGTTCAAGGTATGCATATTCAGTTCTTGCTCAGTGAGGCTAGAGAAAGTAAGACCATCTGAGTTCTAGTGGCGTAATCTGCCCACTAGAGTGTGCACATAGAATTCCGGCGCAGCTCTTATAGTCGGCAAATACAGTATTCGATCCCGTATCAGATACGGTTGATCACATACATGACATGACAGTTCCAGTTATATATACTATTGGTCATGATATTGCAATTATTATTGTTGTTTACTTTAGTATGAGCTTCTGCGGAGCACAATTGTTTTTAGTGCTCACGCCCCCACTATATTATTTCTTTTTCAGGTCATAGAGTCGGTCCCGCGGAGTGAGCTGTGCTGGTGGTCGCAGACTTTGGCTTTATGCCGTTTTACAGACTTTTGGTTCTGTATATATATGTTTTGCCACGGTTGATTTCCAGATTTTGATCCGATTAATTAGTCGGATTTTATAAAGTTTTACATGCCTATTTGACTAGAAATAATCCGTTTTTCTTAATGAGTTTAATGTAGAAAAGATAACAGATTTTCAGAAAAGAAAGGTTTCTCAGTAGCATCCCGAATCACAATTTCGCAAACTAATAAGTATTTTTTAGATAAGATTTTGCGAGAATTTAACTCTGATTTTAATAAGTTAGCGGGGTGTTACAATTGGTATCAGACCATGCTTTTGTGTGTCTGAATACTTTATTAAGTCAAAAAGTTTTCAGAAAACCCGACCACGCCTCGCCGACTACCAGGTAAGTGTTGATTTTTCCAGTTTATATATATCTAAACGAATGTCTAAGTCTATGCTCAGTAGAGGGTGTCAGGCATTTAACCCTAGAAACCAGTATGGATGCTCGAGAGAGTAATATCATCGAATTTTTCCAGTTTATCATTCGACTCTAGTTTTCTCGGGTTAAGTTTTAGCAACTCGTCAAGAGATTTGTGCACATTACTAATCAGTTAATGTATTTTGCCATGTTATATTCCTGTGTCTGATTATATTGAACTTTTAAATATTCAGATGTCGCCTCGTAGAGATCCAGATCATCAGGAGGTCCCCCAGGCCACCGTAGTCGCTAAGTTTCGTGACTACCATCCAGAGAAATTTTCTGGCCAGGGAGATCCTCGAATTGTTGACGAATGGGTCCAAGGCCTTGAAATGATTTTCGAGGTCATGGACTGTCCTGATCGTTATCGAGTTCTCTGTGCACAGATCCAAAGGACGGGTGATGCGTGTCTGTAGTGGAATTGCTACTTGGGAATGCGTCCTGGTGAAAAACAAGGTTATACGTGGGATAATTTTAAGGAGTTGATACGTGAAAAGTACTACCCTGCTTATTATCGAGCAGAAATGGAGCGTCAATTCCTGGCACTCAAGCAAGGTACTCGGACAGTGGATGAGTACGAGCGAGAATTCACTCGACTTGGAGCCTTCATTCCCGAGTTGGTGAGCACGGAGGCAAAGAGATCGAGACGTTTTACTGACGGGCTTTTACTAGTGGTCCGTCATAACATTGTAGGTCACGGAGTTCAGACCTATGCCCATACCGTCACTATAGCCCAGGAGGTGGACACCAGCATTCGGAGGGAGGCCAACCACGATCAGATTCCACTAGTTTCCCCTACTCAGTCATTTTTCGTGCCACCTGCTGCCCAACCACCAATGAACAAAGGCAAGAGGAAGGGGAGAGGATTCTAGGATGATCATAGAAACTACCCAGACAACAGTCGACCCCACCTATCACTACGTGTGGACGACGCCACCGCGGGGAGTGTCTTGTGGGCCAGAATATCTATTTTTATTGCCACAAGCCCAGACATATCAGTACCAACTGCCCAGAGCGACTGCAACAACAGCCACCACAGCCACAACAACCTCAACAACAACCCCAGCAGCCCAGACAGCAACCACCGAGACAGCCCCAACAACAGCAGCGCGGGAGACTGCAAGCCCGTGTTTATTCCATCGATCAGGCCGAAGCAGACCAGCACCCAGGTACTATGTATGGGATGATTATACTTAACGATGTTCCTGTTTTTGCCTTATTCGACACCAGAGCGACTCATTTATTTATATCACACCGATGTCTTGATGCCATTGGGGTTCATGTTGTCTGCGCTGTCGATCCTCTCGAGGTGAGTTTAACCTCGGGGAGGAAGATAGTGACTGATGCCAAAGCCGAGAGTCTCAGCCTTTCCGTCGGCGGTCGTATCTTGACTACCGACGCTTATGTCATCGAGATGAGGGACTTTGACCTCATTCTCGGTATGGACTGGCTAACCCATTTTCATGCAGATATTCGTTGTCACGACCGAGAGATTACTCTTCATCTTTCGGGGGACGACCAGATTACTTATTTCGGGTCCAAGACCCGTACTCTGTCTTATATCATTTCCATGGCGAAAGCCAGAAAGATCTTACGACGAGGTGATTGCCAGGGTTACCTACTGAGCCTTGCCAGAGACGAACCGAAAGCACGGACACCTCACGACATTCTTATCGTTCGTAAGTTTGTGGACGTGTTTCTAGACCAGCTTCCAGGTGGTCCACCCAGCCGGCAGGTAGAGTTTTTTATCGATCTTGTTCCGGGAGCCGGACCAGTACCCAAGGCGCCGTATCGTATGGCACCTAGGGAGTTACAGGAGTTAAAGACTCAGATCCAGGAGTTGCTGAGTCTCGGTTTTATTCGACCGAGCGTTTTACCATGGGTAGCACCTGTTCTATTCATTAAGAAGAAGGACGGTTCTATGCGCATGTTCATCGACTATCGGGATCTTAACGGGTTGACGATCAAGAATAAATATCCGTTTCCCAGAATTGACGACTTGTTCGACCAGCTAAGGGGCGCCTGTGTACTTTCTAAGATTGATTTACGTTCAGGTTACCATCAGCTGAAGATCAAGGAGTCAGACATCGCCAAGACAGCGTTCGAAACCAGATACGATCATTACGAGCTCGTGGTTATGCCGTTTGGTCTTAGTAATGCCCCAGCGGTGTTCATGGACTTGATGAACCGTGTATTCCATCCTTTCCTCGGTCAGTTCGTTATTGTATTCATTGATGATATTCTTATGTATTCCAAGAGCCAGAAGGAGCATGAAGAGCATCTGAGGGCCGTTCTTGAGACCCTTAGACATGAAAAACTATATGCCAAGTTCTCTAAATGCGAATTTTGGCTTCAGCGAGTGGCTTTTCTTGGCCACATTATTACTCAGGCAGGTAGCGAGGTTGATCCATCTAAGATTGCTGCAGTCCAGAACTGGTCAACACCCAAGAATCCTTCCGAGGTTCGTAATTTCCTCGGCCTAGCAGGTTATTATCGCAGATTTATTGAGGGGTTCTCGAAGATTGCCCTCTCTTTGTCCCAGTTGACGAGGAAGTCTGTGAAGTTCGAGTGGACAGATCGTTGTGAGTCAAGCTTTAAGGAGCTGAAAGAGAAGCTTACGACGGTATCGGTGCTGACTATTCCGGATCCTTTTCGGAGTTTCACCATCTATAGTGATGCTTCGAGACAGGGTTTGGGGTGTGTACTTATGCAGGACGGCCAGGTTGTAGCGTACGCTTCACGTCAGTTGAAGCCCCATGAGCAGAACTATCCTACGCATGACTTGGAGTTAGCTGCAGTGGTACATGCACTTAAGATATGGCGGCATTATCTTTATGGCGGTCGGCGTGAGATTTATACCGATCACAAGAGTCTGCAGTATATTTTAACACAGAAGGAGCTCAATATGCATCAGCGACGCTTTTGTTAAAGATTATGACTGCACGATTCAGTATCATCCGGGAAAGGCGAATGTTGTAGCTGATGCCCTGAGCCGAAAGGTAAAGGGTGAGTTATCTTGTTTTATTACCCAGCAGAGCCATCATGTTCGAGACTTTGCCCGGATGCAGATTCAGGTCATCGAGTCACTTCCTGCAGAAATCACGGGGAGTGTTAGCTCGATGCAAATTCAGCCCACGTTGAGAGACAAATTTCGGCAGGAGCAGGCTTCTGATCCGTTTATTCGTGCTATCAAGGCCAAGTTTCACGTCGGAGGAGTTGAGGATTTTTCCCGAGGCACAGATGGAGCCTTGGAGTTCGGAGGCAGGATTGTAGTGCCGAAAGTCGAGGCTTTGCAGAAGGAGATCTTGACTGAGGCACACACCGCGCCTTATCTAGCTCACCCCGGTAGCACCAAGATGTATCACGAGCTGAGAAGGTCATTCTGGTGGCGGTGAATGAAGAAAGACGTAGCCAGTTTTGTAAAGATGTGTTTGGTCTACCAGCAAGTTAAGGCCGAGCACAAGAGTCCGATAGGCCTCCTACAACCACTTGAGATTCTGAAGTGGAAGTGGGAGGAAGTCACGATGGATTTTGTTACGGGGCTACCCAAGTCGTCTGAGCATCACGACGCGATTTGGGTAGTAGTGGACAGATTGACGAAAGTCGCCCATTTCCTACCTGTAGCGATGACCACGTCGATGGAGAAGTTGGCCGAGATTTATACCTGTGGGATCGTTCGACTCCACGGAGTGCCCATTCATATCGTGTCAGATCAAGATCCCAGATTTACCAGCAGGTTTTGGGAGAGTTTACACGAGGCGATGGGCACGCAGTTACAGTTTAGTTCGGCTTACCATCCAGAGACAGACGGTCAGTCAGAGATGATGATTCAGACACTCGAGGATATGCTCCGAGCGTTGGTTCTAGACAGAGGTGCTAAGTGGGAGTCGATTTTGCCATTAGTCGAGTTCGCCTATAACAAAAGTTATCAGGCGTCGATCCAGATGGCTCATTTCGAAGCACTTTACGGGCGTAAATGTCGCTCGCCCCTTTATTGGGAAGACGTTGGCGAACGTCAAGTACTCGGTTCAAAGATGATCGAGGACACAGTTGAGCAAGTTGAGCTGATGAGACAGAGGCTTAAGACAGTGCAGAGTCGGCAGAAGTCATCGGCCGACAAGCATAGACGAGATATCCAGTTCGAGGTCGGAGAACGAGCCTTTCTGAGAGTTCGACCATTCCGCGGGACCATTCTATTTGGGAAGAAAGGGATGTTTCACTCCCGTTCATCGGCCGTTCGAAGTTCTCGAGCGAGTGGGCGAAGTAGCCTACCGTTAGCTTTGCCTCCCGAGCTATCCAGTGTTCATAATGTTTTTCATGTATCCATGCTTCGGAAGTACGTGTGCGATCCAGATCATATTCTCCAGCATACCGATATCCAGCTTCAGCCAGATTTATCGTACGAGGAACGTCTGGTAGCAGTTTTGGACCGACAGATTCGACGGCTCCGTAGACGAGATATTCCCCTCGTAAGTATCAGATGGAATCGCCACGGAGAATCCGATGCTACTTGGGAGCGCAAAGCAGACATTAGAGCTCGTTTTCCCGACTTTGAATTTTGATGTATATACTTTCCTTGTATTCTGCATATATATATCCAGTTTTATATTTCCGAGGACGGAATATTTCAAGGAGGGAAGATTGTGATATCCCAGTTTGTTATTAATAAAAGCGATGTATTTCCTTTTGTTAATAATATTTATTTCAGCTTCCAGTCAATAAGTTCGACTTTAAGTCGAAAGATTATTCAGTTTCATTATTAACCGAGTTAATTTCGATAATTAGTTCCCGAAACGTTTATTTTATAAACAGACATTATTAGTCGGGATTAATTACTTGAAATCGATAATATTCGAATTAATTTTCGAAGTCAATTTCCAAACGAAATCGAGTAAATTCGGTTTAAGTTGTCATGCGTACTCGCGGTACCTATACAACGACACGTTCACATTGGTACACCGTCCATCAATAACTTATGCCTAAGTAATTGTCATTAACCCTTGCTTAAGTAACTTAATCCATGCTTAACCTATTAATCCATGTTTAGCCTATTAATCAATGTTTATGCTTAGGTAAGTACTACGTTCAGGCCTAATTAATCCATTAATCCTAATTAATCCAAGCTTAAGGCATTGCCGTGAGTATCCAAGCTTCAGATAAGTTCATGAGCAAGTTGTGGCATAAGTCACCTGTGTGCTTAGCCACATGGCATCGTGCGAACTAGTCTTAGGGATGAGTGAGTATCCAAGCTTCAGATAAGTTCATGAGCAAGTTGTGGCATGAGTCACCTGTGTGCGTTCATGAGCAAGTTGTGGCATGAGTCACCTGTGTGCTTAGCCACATGGCATCGTGCGAACTAGTCTTAGGGATGACCGACCAAACCAAGTGCCACCTCGTGCAACTAAGCAATCAAAGTACGAAGCTTACGGTTAGAGCAAGTGGCGTCCTAAAGTTTACCATGAATTTTTCATCTCCATCTTTTACCATTTATAAGTCAAAGGCCCTAAGTTTCACCTCGTACAACGACTAAGCAATCAAAGTACGAAGCTTACGGTTAGAGCAAGTGGCATCCTTAGGTTTACCATGAAATTACCATTTATAAGTCAAAGGCCCTTAGTTTCACCTCGTGCAACGACTAAGCAATCAAAGTACGA